GGGGGCCCCGGCGGCCGTGGGCAGGGCGGCGAAGGCTGCCAGAAGTGAGGCGTTTCTGGGGCCTGAGGAGGCGCCTGGAAGCAGGCGCGCGCCTGCCCGCGACCCCCACGCCCCCCGCGTGTCAGCGCTTACCGGCGGCAGCCGACCGAGCGGTTCCGAGGATGGCAGCGCTGGGGCTACGTCTCAGAGTCCCGCCGGGCAGACTCACACGCACCCAGCGCGGCGTAACGTCTCGGTCATCTGGCTGGTTTTCACCCTGCCGGGGGTACCCGAGTCCTGCTTCCCCCCGCACACCCGGGGCAGGGGTCGGTCTGTGCACAGCTGCAGTCCCAGACCTCCACCCACCTCCGGGAAGCCAAGCCAAGCCTTCCCTTTCCTTCTTCCCTCTTGCCTTCCCCCTTCCCTTTCCCTTTCCTCTTCCTCCTTCCTTTTCCCCTTCCCCCTTCCCTTTCCCCTTCCCCTTTCCCTTTCCTCTTCCTCCTTCCTTTTCCCCTTCCCCCTTCCCTTTCCCCTTCCCTAAACTGGACTGAAATCCGAAGTGCAGCAACTGTGGAGAACAGAACAGAAACCAAGGGACGAGGCTGGGAGAGGTTTGTGCCCCCTCAGCTCGGCTGTAATGCGCAGAAATAGGAAAGGAAATCGAGTAGAGCAAGGATATGACAACAGTTAAAGAAGCAACAGAAGATGATGGCAAGGAAGGAGAAATAGAAATGAGAGGTGGGTGGGAACGGAGGACTGAACCAGCCTGGGAGCAGGGAGTGGCCGACGTAAAGCACTCAAAACACTTGAGCCAGCGCAAGCACAGGGAGCTTGAGCAGCAAAATGGAGGAATAAAACCTGCCCATGCATGAAACAAAGCTTGCTAGAAGAGAGGTAACAGAGCAGGGTATAATCACTCTCCTGTGTTCAGGAAAGACAGACCTCATAGTTAAGGCCACTGGATAACACTGAATGCTAATTATGCAAAAAGAAGGAATAGACCCAAAGTGTTCGGCTCAAAACTACAGCAGGGAAAGTGTTAAAAGAGAGTCGGGGGTAGAACTGGGACCCTGATGGTGACATTGGCCAAAGACTGTCACCATCGCAGCAAACACGCGTTGTTTGTGCACAGCTTTCTATAAGCTGCAAAATTATGTTTGCATAGAGAAAAAGATACTTGGAATATAATGAAACAAGTCACTGCTCCTGCAGTAGCTCCTGCTTTCCCAGATATAAAGGTGAGAGCAGATGCTGCGAACGATGCCTGGGGCTGAGCAGCGCAGGGTACAATAGAGGAACAGCTCTCTTTGCCAGCCACCAGACCAACAAGAGGTGCTGGTGGTTTAGCTTTTTAAGTAGTGGGTATATTGTGAGGCTACTGAGGTCATAGGGGAAAAAAATTGTTTGATAGTTGCAGTTTAAAATAAATAGGTGGGTAAAACATAGGTTTATAAAAAGGCATTCTAAGTCAAAAGGGGAAAGAGTAAGAGAACTAATTAGAAAAAATCAACAGGGCTGGAGGACTCAAGGACTTATATACAAATGAAAGACTGGATTTCTTCATGCCAGAGCAGCAGAAACGATCTGGACATTGTATCTTAAGCAAAGGGGAAGGGTTTCACAGAAGATCTCCTGGCAGCTTGGTAACTAGGGTCACTGGAAATAGAAAACCTACATGTAGCAGTGAGGAGGATCACTCTCCTAAGAAAGGTTTGTCTTCCAGACGAGGAAATACAGAAGATAAATAATGGCAGCTAGAAGCAGTTACTTCAAGCAGGGAAAAAGAAACAGGGCTGTCATGCAGTGAGAAAGGCATACAGCTTGAAGGAAGTCTGACAGTATTTACAAAACCAATAAGCCTTTTGCCTCCATTTTTAATACAGATGACTTTGTGAAAGATAGTAGCAGAAGGAAGATGAGTAACATGAAGAAAGTCACGGGTAATTACTGCAGTGGGGAAAAACAAACGATCTCGTCCAGAGTGCAGACAGGCCAAGTGTGAGAGAAGCAAGAAGTTTTACTGTGGCACTCAAATCATTCTGGAATATTTGCATTAAAGAAAGGGAGGGAAATAATTTACAATAATTTGGACAAATTTTGAAGGAAAGAATAATTAAAGATATGGGAATAAATGGGGTAAAATGAAGTATGCGATTACATTAGATGTTGCTTCAGCAAGATATCTTTCCCTGATACAACTTTGTTTCCCTTTTCCTTAAAGAAAGGAAATGTGGTGGATGTAATCTATTTGGGGTCAATAATACCTGATACTCTCCAGACAGGAAATGGCTATTTAAGCAGAAGAATGTGGGGAATCAGGAGAAAAGGACAGAGGGGTGTTTTATATGGGAAGTGTCAGACTGAAAGAAAGCTGCTCTGTGGGATTCATCAAGGCTCCTGTCGTCCTTCATATTTTCATTATAGCGGTGTCATCAAGAACATGAGTATGCTAATGAAATCTGCTGTTGGCAGAGCTGGGAGACATCACCAGTTCAAACAAGGGTGGGAATAGTATATTGGAAAAACTGCATGCCTCTTAGAATTAGATTAATGAAAATGTAATAAAATTTGATAATACTAATGACATGCAGATATTAATCACAAAAATTTCTTCCACTGACTATGAGATCAGCACTTGGAAAAAAAAAGACTAGTTAATCACAAGATGAGTAGGAGCTATGTAAAAAGGGAAACGTAAACCCAGCAATGTCAGATAAGTAATTTCAGGAAAGATCTGCAGTACAATGTGTGATTCTGTCAGCCAGTCAAGAGTAAATCAAAGTGGAACAAGTATGGACAAAAACCACTATGATGATCAGGGTCTGGACAGCCCATTTTAGAAGAGAATAAAAACACTTGGTGTATTCAGTTTGGCAAAACAAAGAAGGAGAGCCAGGAAAGTTAAAACTAAGGGCCAATGTCAGCATGAGAACAAGTGGGTATAGGCTCAACTCTGCAGTCGGAGTAGAAAACACCAGAACAGCCTCTGACAAGCGTGGCAGGAGCAAAATCAAGTCTAACTTCTTTTAAATGGAGCTGGAGGAGTTTACAGAAGGGATTACACAATGTGGTTGACTGCAGTGGCAATGAGATTGGATGACCAAGAGATCCCTTCTAGAGGCTTATAGACAATATTCGAACACCATTCCATAAATAAATATTTAGGCCTAACATATAGCAATGCAGGCAGCAGTGGTGTCTCCAACACGTAAAGGAATGTGGTAGAAAAGGGGAAATGGGCAAGGGTGACAAAATTGAGATGACACCTCAATAAATGGGTTTTATAAAGGAGATGATTAATTAGAGACTGGATGAAAGTGCTAAAATAACTGGAGAAAGGGATATTCTCTCTCTGTCTCAAAACACCAAAACCAAAACAATCAGCCAGACTGAAAGGTGGAACTTCTGGAAAAATTGAGATACAAAATATGTTCTTGTAAAATACGTAACTGAGCCGCTGAGTCGATTGTTGTAGGAAGGCACTGGGACAAAAATTAAAATTATCGTTATACAAAGAAGGAGCATGCATTCATCAATTATGAGAAAATGCCTTTTTACAGTACTTTATGCTAGCATAAAATTCATAAGCAGCAGTAAATTAATCTCCTC